TGGTTGCAAGTCACCTCCGCGCGCGGCCCGAGCGGGGATGAGGTCCTAGCCCCGATGCCACGGGGCCACATGTTCCTTTCCTGCGCCTTGGCTTCTCCCAGTGCCCCCATTTCATAGAAGAGGACACCGAGGGTCCGAGAAGCCGAAGGTCACTCTGAAGTCAGGGAAGAACTGCAGATCTATTCATGTCAGTTCCATGATTATCAACACGTAGTGATTGAGCTCCTACTATGTGCCAAGTACTATTTTAGTTCCTGTCCTCACCGGCCTACACCAGTAGTTTTTAGCTGGGGGCATTCTGACCCCCAGAGGACGACTGCAATGTCTGGAGACCTTTTTGGTTATAATGACTAGGAGGTGCTACTGGCATCGAGTGGGTGGAGGCCAGGGATGCTGCTCGACACCCTGCAGTGCACAGGACGGCCCCACTCCAGAGAATATCCAGCCCCATGTCAGCAGTACCTAGGAAGAGACCCAGGTCTACACTGACAATACTAAATATACGAGTGTGGTTTCTTAAGATGGTGGTAAGTACTGCCTAGTGACTTAAAACCTGTCAGCCTCTGGACTGCCCGATAATTTAATTTACTCATCATCATTAAATAAATACGAGGAATGAAGGAATAAGGTCCCAGGCAAATAGTGAAAAATAAAACATTTAAAATACACCTTGGCCGTTTTGCAGATTGCAAGCAATTGGGTATAATCAGTGACGATAACCACGGAGGTAATTGTTATTAGAATCCATTTATTAAAAAAAAAAAAATGCTGTCGAGTCAACTCTGACATGCCAACCCTGTATGTGACAGAGTACAATGGTGTCATTGGGTTTTCAGTGGCTGATGTTTCAGAAGTAGATTGCCAGGCCTTTCTCCCAAGTCACCTCTGAGTGACCTGAAACCTTCAATCTTTCAGCTAGGAGCCGAGCACATTAACCATTTGCACGACCCATGGATTCCCGTTAACAATACAGGCGTCTACAAGGTATAAAATAACAGAGTCACGTACCTGCCACTAAAATGAACTTGTTAGGTTTCGTCCATTTGCTTCAAGGCTTTTTAAAAAGACAAGATAGAAAAGGCTGTTTTCCCTCCTCCTCATTTATTTCCTCCCTTCTACCCCAGAGCAGAGGAGCCTGGTGGTGCAATGGTTAACATCCTCAGCTGCTAACCAACAGGTTGGCAGTTTGAACCCATCCAGCAGCTCCA